TTCAGAGTTCAATATGCTGATAAAAAAACTATTAAAAAAGTAAATTTAATGGTTGTAACATATTGGATAGAATTAAATCCTTTTGATCGTGGTCATTCAATATTTTATATATAAAATTTATGATTGACCACCAAGATAATTCAACACTTGTTTCATTAAAAATATTAATTGGTTTTCTCAAATGAGTATAAATATGAGTGGAATAATAGAGTTCGAGAGTTCCAGTATTTTCCATCGTACATCTCGTATGTGTATTTAACTAACTAGTTAAATAGATTGCCGATTTTCGACTTTTTGCACATGTTGAACTGTGGCACTTCCGGTTTTGCAAAAATGTCCCAATATATATTTAAGGAACACGTTGCCACTACAGAAGGTCTAGAGAAGTTGAATGGTTGCTGCAACTACTGCAGTCTAAGCTCAGGAAGGTGTGTAAATTTCGAAAAAAAAAAAAGAAAAAAAAAATGGACATTTCGATAACAAACATTTCCGCAAAAAAAAAAGAATGGACATTTCGATAACAAACTGGAATACCAAACCACGATAATAGTCCAAAACAGTAAAAAAATATAAATATTTTAAAGTTGTGTTTAAATGTGTTTTCATGTTAGTATAAGATGAATTAAAATATGATTATGGATAATGCAATGACACTAATGGACACTAATGATGATAATGATGGTAATAAATCAGGACAGAGTTTTTCCACACGAGGTTTGTTTTCCGATTCTCAATTTCTGAAAGAGTTTTGCTTTTAATGCTGTGGATATTATCAAAATCCTCTGTTTGAGGGCAAATTCTAAAATCGTAAAACTTGCGATTTTATTATTTCCGAAAATGAAATAAGCTTTTAAGTAAAAGCTTGTGGATATTAGTGGGTTTGAAAAATACTTTTATATCTGCATCAAAGTTTCAATGAAATACGGTCATCTGACCAGATAAACCTCCTCTCCCGAGGTCTAAAGTTTTCACCAGTTACCAAACTCAAAAACCACCATGACTTCATCGTCAACATAGAACGTGGCTTACACCAATTAGCACCAGGCATATGAACTACCTGAGACACCAAGTGACAGAGATCCTCGCTAAAAACAAGATACAACCTAACAACTTAACCAAAGTTCAGAGGGATGCACTAACTGACCTCAGACACGATAATAAGATCGCCATTTTACCAGCAGACAACGGGAAAGCCACAGTCATGGATAAGAAAGAGTACCAAGAAACTGTCACAGAACTACTTAGTGATGCGAAAGCTTACAGAAGACACCGTAAAAACCCAACGAGCATATACAAAGACAGGTTGGACAAGAAGTTAAACGAACTTGAAACCAGTAACCAAATTACCAATCAACTTTAATTTAAACTGAGATCAACCCGTCACCCACGTTCACCATATGCCATAGCAACAATTAATCCACAAAAACCCCATCAAGGCACGGCTACTCATATGCTCTCGGGATTCTGTCTTCTATAACATCGCCAAACGTCTTAGCAGAATCTTGGCACCTTTGGGGAAAACAGCTAACTTATTCATTAAAGACTCAGAAGAATTTGTCACCAAATTGAAAGAGCTGCAGACCACAGGGAAGATGTACTCATATGATGTTGTCGACGTATTCACCAATGTCCCATGTAAAGATGTGTTGAGTATCATAAGAGATAAGATATCTAAATTAGAGACCCCACTAGATACTACACTTACTACAGACAGCATCGTCGATCTCATTCAGATGTGTATGTCCTCTACCTACTTCACATGGGGAGATGAGATTTATGAACAAATCCACGGTCTACCCATGGAAAGCCCCTTGTCACCATTGATTACTGAAATCTATATGACAGCCTTTGAGGAAAAGACCATGGAAACCTCTCCGATCCCTCCAATCTGCTGGTTCCAAGTTGAGTGCTCCTGTAGAAGTTCTTATATAGGGGAAACAAAGAGACCCTTGATGTTCGACTCAAAGACCATCAAGACAAGCCCGGCAATGAAGGAACATCTGCTGTGGCTGAACATCTTGCTATGGGAAGGAAAACAGGACACAAAGTCAACTTTGACAACACCAACATACTGACAATCAATAAGCACATGGATAAAACTAGAGATGAAGATGTTCGTTTATCGCATGCATATGATTAACTTATCAACTTGTAATTATTCATATTCATAAATGTATTCAATTTAATAAAAAATTTCCAACTTTAAGCATAGTAAGTTATTTGAACAATGTAATTTCTATTAATAAAAGACTCCAATAATAGCAATAGTTGTTTATTTAATCTTCAATTAATCTTTTTTAATTCATTGACTTTATTTCAATTATGTTACTTAATCAGCCTGTATGTTATTTCAAGAATTATGTACGTCTTATTGTACCTTTTAAAATTTAATGTAATGTATCAATAAACCATTTATCTCTTGTGTGTTCTTAATAATTAGCATTAATCTATATATAGTTTGCCCATCACTTCTTCTCATTATGTGCCTGGGGACGACGGCGGAAACACGTCGAAACGTTGCATAAAACTTTAACCAGTGATTGTTGTTCCATAAAGCTGTGTCTATATATCGTACTCACAATG